ATAAAGAGAAAAATAAAGTCTGTAAAGAATCTTGGGGAAACACAGCGGTTGGCTAACAAAAGGTAGAGAGCTCTTAAAACCAAAGAATTAAAATTCACATAAAATGTCAATAATCTAGCCATACCTTAGCTTTCTCTTTCTTCCTCCAGCTTTCTGTATTCTAGATATGTAGGACTTAGATTATTCTTCCATAGAGGACCAAGTTCAGTTTTCTAGTTCTTTTTGTTATCCATCATCCAATATAACCAAATTAGCAAACTTTAATGATGATAATTATTTTTTTTCTTTCTTATAAGCAAAGGGTAGGCTGGGCACAGTAGCACAGCACTGGCAAGGCTGAGGCAGCAGGATTTCAAGCTTGAGCCAGCCTGGTCTACACTATGAATTCAAGGCCAGCCTGGACTGTATCTTGAGAACCTATTTTGAAGAGGAGAGGGGAGAGGAAAGATGGCAGGGAAGAGAAGAAAGCATACAGAAGGGAAAGACTGACCTCCACTAGCCTGAGGCCAAGATCACTATCTTTCTTTACTTGGCTCTTTATCTCTGTGAACAACACAGTGACCAACACAATCCCAGGTATTCAAACATCTTTTTAATAATTAATGTCTATTTAATATGTGGCCAGGTATGGTTCCTTGGCCTATAAGTCAACATTTGGGAGGAAGCAGCAGGAGGATCACTTAAGTCCAGGAGTTTAAGGCCAGCCTGGGCACACAGTGAGATGCTGTTTGAGAAACAAGTAAACAAATAATACCTAATACTTACATAGCACCTAATCAGGCATCATTCTGAACACGTACATACCTTAGTTCTCAACAATCCTAGCAGTAACGACTATTATAGTCCCCTATTCCAGATGAGAAAGTGTAGCACAGTGAAGCTGTGACTTGTCAAAGGTCATTCAGTTAGGAAGTAGAACCAGGAATGGAGGATAGCCCAAGTGACAGCATTCCAAATGGACTCTCTCCGGTCATTCCATCTTCTTAAAATTGAGAGGTTTATGACAAACTGTAACACTTAGGACTGCTACTAGGTCATAAAGAAAAGTACTTTTCCTTTTTCTGCTTTGTAATATTCTACTTTGCCTTTTTCAGATGAGCTCTAAGTCCCCTTAGGGAGGCAGGGCAGGAGGGATCAAGATTGAAGATGGCAGGCTGGGAAGGTGGCTCAGTGGTAGAGCACTTGCCTTGCACGCCTGAGGCCCTGGGTTCAATTCCTCAGCACCACATAAGTGGCTCAAGTGGTAGAGCGCTGGCCTTGAGCTGAAGAGCTGAGGGACAGCACCCAGGCCCAGAGTTCAGGCCCCACGACCAGACCAAAAAAAAAGATTGAAGATGACTTGGGCTGCATAGTGAATGAGGTCCAGGCCAGTCTGGGCTGAGTTCCTGCTCAATAAATAAATGAACAAATAAATATAAATAAGTTACTTCTGAGCTTATGACAAAGAAAATAATCACCAACTAGGGGTTGATTATTCTCTACAGTTAAGTCAAAAGGCAGACAATGAATGGACAACAGAGGAAGAACCAAATAAAATTTCACTTACAATTCAGTTTTCTTTGTAAAAGGCAAGCTAGTCTAAAAACTTTGTCATTGCCGGGCGTTGGTGGCTCACGCCTGTAATCCTAGGTACTCAGGAGGCTGAGATCTGAGGATCTCAGTTCAAAGCCAGTCCGGGCAGGAAAGACCATGAGACTCCTATCTCCAATAAACTACCAGAAAACCAGAAGTGGCGCTGTAGCTCAAGTGGTAGAGCACTTGCCTTGAGCTGAAGAGCCGAGGGGCAGCACCCAGGCCCAGAGTTCAAGCTGCACAAAACTTTGTCATTATAGAATTTAATTCCATCTTCTATTTAACTTTTTTTTTTCCAGTCCTGGGGCTTGAACTCTGGATCTAGTCACTGTCCCTGAGCTTCTTTTGCTCAAGGCTAGCACTCTACCACTTGAGCCACAGCACCACTTCCAGCTTCTTCTATTTATGTGGCACTGAGGAATCAAACACAGGGCTTGATGCATGCTAGGCAACATTCTACCACTGAGCCACCTTCCCAGCCCTCTATTTAACTTCTAAAACATTAGGAACATTATACAATCTCTACCCTAACCCAAGTAAACAGAAAACTATCCAAATTAAAAGGAAAGCTTTAGTTTGGGGTTCTTCCCAGTTCTTTGTGGTTGAGAGTGAAATGCAACTTCTTGGTATTACAGGACAGAAAATAGTATATGAAGAGATAGGAAAATTGTTTTGCTATTGCTGCTGTCCTCGCAGTCCAACAATTTCAAATGTAGAGTCAGTTCCTGATCTTCAGTTGTTCAAGTACTGCATTAAATCTACAAACAGTTCCAATCCTAAATCTTGCAGAGATCATTAAATTAAGAAGTAGCTGCTTCCACGGCTGGGAATGTGGCTTAGTGTAGAGTGCTTGCCTAGCATGCATGAAGCACTGGATTCGATTCCTCAGTACCACATAAACAGAAAAGGCAGGAAGTGGTGCTGTGGCTCAAGTGGTAGAGTGCTAGCCTTGAACAAAAGAAGCTCAGGGATATTGCCCAAGTCTAAAGTTCAGTCCCCAAGACTAGCAAAAAAAGAAAAGAAAAAGAAAGAAATGCCTGCTTCCTTCACATTCCAAATTCCTACTAAGTAGAAATAAGCATTCACAAAACAAGAGTTGAGACAGGGTTTGAATGACTGACCTCACAAAGATAAACTGGGAAAAGAACAGGATCATTCTCTTCTTGGGCATCTCTAAAGTATACCTAGAAAGTGTCACCTTATTTTCCCTGGTATATCCTCTTTCCCCAAAATAAATTCTCCTCCAAGCATTTTATGAAACAAAATCTCTTTGTCCCCGATCCTGTCATCCGCATCCTCCTGGGTTATTTTGGGGGGTGAATAGATACTAGAGGGTGAAAAGTTGATTATAGAAAGATTAATTCATAATCCAATTCAAAGGCAACCCTGTTTTTCCTTTTGGGGCAATATGAGGATTTGAATTCAGGGTTTCCCACTCACCAGAAAGGTGCCCTACCAATTGAACCATGCCTCTGGCCCTTTTTGTCCTGGTAATTCTTAAGATAAAGTCTCACTTTTTGCCCAAACAAGCCTGGACCAAAATCTTCCTATTTATGCTTCCGAATACAGCTGGGTTGACAGGCCCACATCAGCACACTCAGCTTTTTCTGTTAAGATGGGGATCCAGCAGACTTTTTTTTATCTAGGCTGGCCAGGAAGTTCACTCTGATATCAACCTGCAGTTAGGCTGGCCAGGAACCTTACTCTGATCTCAACCTCCAGTGTAGCTAAGACAGGTGCAGATACCATGCCCAGTTATTGATCGAGATGGGGGTCTCAAGAACTTTATTGCTTGGGCAGGCCTAGAAAGCTATCCTACTGATTGCTGCTTCCCAAGTAGCTACAGACATGAGCCACTGCAGCCCAGCCCAGAGGGATACTTACTGCATTCCTTAAACTAGCCTTTAAAAAATAAAAACAAAAGCAAACCATAAGGCAAACTTATTCTAATTTTTTGAAAAGAGTAACTAAAATACTTGTTTTAAAATAAGAGCAGCAGCAACAAAGGCCTTTTCAAGAGAAGCTGATGAGCAGGCAAGTGGCTGGAGGTACTGCTAAGGGGTGAAAGTGTGTGACCTGGGGGTCCTTTCTAAGCACCCGCCTTTCCCCTTCCCCTTCTCAAAACCTCCCTGAAGTCAGCTTCCTCTACAAGTTCATCTCCTGAATGTACATTCCCCGTACATGTCTAAACACACCTGCAAAAATGCTAGTGAGCCCCCTAATCCCCTGTATCCCAAGATACAAGAAAAGCTTCTTAGTTGATATGCAGGGCAACTGAATGGACCTCAGCATCCTGTGAGCTCATTTTTATTACCATTTCAGGGGCCTCGGACAAATTTAAACCACTCAACACACACTTTGGGGAATACAGGGTCCAACGCACAAACTTACTACAAGTTTGAAATTAGTTATCAATGTCTAAATTTATGTTTTCAAAAGTGTTTCAGAGCACCTGCATCAAAACCCTAATCTTCTCATGTTCAAATGAGATTCTTAAAATCACTTACCACACTTAATCAGAATCTGTGAGCAATCTGGGACATGGCATTTTTTAAAATATGATCCTGGGTGATTTTAAGAACTTCAGCTTGAGAATCCCTAAGTGAAACCCACATCTGCAATGTTCCCCAAATATTTACCCATATGGGTGCCAGTCCCATCATTTTTCCTAATAAGTAGTTGTGAATAAAACCCTCCAGTTCCCCCAACTAAGTGTAGTTAGAAAACACTAAGTTAGAAAAGCCTGAAAATCATACAGGATTTGGGGGATGGCTGGCTCATCGCAGAAAAGATCCATGTCAAGAACGGGCAACAGTACCGAGTTCTCAGGACACCCAGGACCACAAACAAACCCCACAGAAACAAAGCCCAACGAACAACAAGAAGAAAAACATCCCTTCCTTTCCTTCACCATAAGCAGAAGCAACATTTCTGGGCAACTAATTTCCCCTGGCACCCATCAGATCATGATTTTCTTTGGCAACTCCCCCACGCTATTTAGAGAACATTCCTCCTCCTTCACTGAGCTGCTTCATCATCGGAGTGCAAGCATGTCCCACACTTACACACACACATCATTACAGTGGACACCCTTCCAGCTTCATCTCCATCCCGGATCCGGGACTCCGATCCCCACTGGCGCCCCCCCCCACAGCCCCTCTCCCCCGCCCCCCGCACTCAGAGCAACTTTCCCCCACTCCGCAAAGCTCGGGCCCACCCTGGCCCGGCCCTGCCCACGCGCGGCCGGCTCCCCGGCCTGGGCATCCGCGGACCCCGGGCCTCCAGGTCCGGAGCTGAGCCCTCGGCGCCCCCCGCCCCCAGCCCCACCCCGGGACCCGGTTCCCACTTTCCGCCTCCAGCCGGGGTCCGTGGGACCGGGGCGCCCCACCCTCCACTTTCCCGCTCCTCCTCCGGCCTGGCCTCCTTACCCGCCTGCAGCTCGAGTTCGGCGACGTCGCCGGCCGGGCCCGGCTCGGCCCCGCCGCCGCCGCCGCCGCCCGCGGGGGAGGGCGGACAGCTGTGGTCGTGGGAGCACTTGACGTCGCGGAAGAACTTTTGGGTTTCCCGCAGGTTCTGCCGCAGCCGTCCCAGGTAGCGGCGGTAGCGACCGAAGCCCCGGCACAGCTCGCGGATCATTCCGCCGCCCCCACCGCCGCCGCCCCCCGGGCCCGGGCCGGGTCCCGAGACGGGCTCGCCACCCAACAGCAGCCCGTCGCCCTCCATCGCCTTGGCCCGCTGTCTCCGCGGCTCGGTCCCCGGCGCTGGCCCGGCCCCCCTCCTCCCTCCCCGCCCCTCAGTGCTCCCAAGAGGCGGAACCCGACGCCCCCGCCTGCAAGTCCGCCGCGCTTCCAGCCTCGGTCTCTTGCAATCACCGACGCCCGCGCAATGCGCCGCTCGTGGAACCTTATTTTCCGCTCTCCGGGAGACACGGGAAGCGTTTTTAAGAGCGCCGTCGCCGCGCAGTCTCCTGGGACTTGTAGTTCTAGTTCTGTCCCAAAGCCAGATATGCATAACTGAAGTGGATGAATTACTGACCCCCTAACCCCTGTAAGGAGGTGACTGTCTTCACCGGCCCTGGGGCTTAAATATGCTACATTGATTCAGATATGTATTCTTGCTCCCTGAATGAGTCCCCGTGGACAGTGGGGAGCTGCGGAGCTAGCAGAAGTGGGGTGCCTTACTGAAATCAGAGCAAAAGATTTTAATGGCCAAGAAAGGAAGAAAATAAGACGTAGGCCACTAATATTTCCATGGTTACCTAAATAGCTCTCTCACTTTCTGGACACAGCAGATACTTGAGCACGGGCTCAAGCTAACGGGCTGTGTTACTTTCTCCTTTTCTATCTTCTCTCCTCCAGATGTGAAAAGTGGGAATGTGAAAGGATCACTAAAACTTCTAAATGGTTGTTTCTTGAAGTAGGGAAATGGGGCTGGGTAAGGGGAAGTTGAGGTTTGCAGCCTTCCAAAACCATTTCGGATTATCTTAACTCTACTTCTGCCAATGTGTACTTCTGCCATTGACACAAATCTCTGTGCACAAACATCAAAGGGACAATTTGACCCCTACCACCTGTTTTCCCATTTCCCACTTTTTTTTTTTTTTTTTTTGCTGCTCGTCACCAGGTATGTCCTCGCATGCTTGGCAGAGAAATTGTCTTTCTAACTTTACTTTGCTATTATAAATTCTTCTTATTTAATAGATTATTTCTGAAGATATTCTGAACTTTTTTTTTTTTGGGGTCCGGTCATGGGGCCACTTCCGGCTTTTTTCTTTTTGCTTATATGGTGCTGAGGAATCGAACCCAGGGCCTCATGCATGCAAGGCAAGCGCTCTACCACTGAGCCACCTTCCCAACTCAGATCTTTCTTTCTTTTTTTTTTTTTTGTCGTTCGTGGGGCTTGAACTCTGGGCCTGCGCGCTGTCCCTCAGCTCTCCAGCTCAAGGCAAGCGCTCTACCACTTGAGCTATAGGGCCACTTCCGGTTTTCTGGTGGTTTATTGGAGATAGGAGTCTCACAGTCTTTCCTGCCCGGGCTGGCTTTGAACCGCGATCCTCAGATCTCAGCCTCCTGAGTAGCTAGGATTACAGGCTTGAGCCACCAGCGCCCGGCTTATTCTGAACTCTTAATCCTACTCTGCATGTAGGTAGGAATTGGGGTTTGTAAAACGTGGAAAATGAACAGTCGGTTCTCCCGTGTAATTAAGACCAAGTTAATGACCGAAAGCATCACCAGTTTCCTGTAAAGCAACATGAAACAACAATCCCAAGTCCAAAAATTTTAAAATATATATAATATATATATATAATAAGCAAATTTGTGTATACCTAAATTTTTCAAAGGCACTTATTTCATTGCTACATGTTCAATTATTATAGTCTCCTAAAGTTACTAACAGGTAAGGGAAATTGGGCTCATAAAAAAAAAAAAGGAAAGTGGGGGGAGTGTAGTTGTGGAGATGGGAGAGAAGGGATGGTAGGGGAAAACAAAGAGGAGGCAACAATGCTTGATAAGAAATGTACTCATTACCTTGCTCATGTAATTGTAACCCCACTGTATAGTATTTTCACAAAAAAACTTACTTTTAAAAAAAGGAAAATGGTGCAAAGAAAAATGATAAAATACCATTTATTGGCTTACTTTTTCCTCCAACTTGCAAGATGACTGCCAATATTAAATTTGGCTACAAAGTATATCTTTTTTTCAGCCCAACACAGCTTTCCTAAAGAGCCTGTTTAGATCTAGATTGCTCTAGACAACATTGCTCCCTTCTGTCTATTCCATATATCATTGGTAGTGAGACAAACAAGGCCTCTCACATCCTAGGGGCCAAAGGATCTTGTCCAGAACATCTGTAGTGATTCTTGAGACTTCACATTTATCACCAGCTCCATGGTGGTGCCAATATTGCTAACCTCTGGACCCCAGGTTAGGCAGCATGGATGTAAGGAGACATACCAAGAGTCAGCATTGTCTCATAGTTAAAGAAATAAGCCAAAGAAAGTGCATTCAAATCTTAGTTTGTATACTCTTGAAGACCTTACTTATTTTCAATGAGTCTTAGGAATAATTGTACTTTCTTCAGTAATGTGAGGACTAAAAGAGCTAGATCAACTAATCTCAAATGTGGACAAAATTAATGTTTTTTTAAAAGCAGAATCTGCTGTATGACAAAACTATAAATGACAGATGCTTTCTTCAATTGTGTTATAATTACACATCTTGTTCTAGTTCTGACTTGCTACTCTATGGTCTTGAGCAATTCTTTGGCCCCTGATTAGCCCTGTATCTAAGTCTGAGTTTCCCATCTATCAACTGGGAGAAAAAGAATGCCCACCCCAGAGGTTATTGTGAGATTAGAATGAAAATATAAGAATCAGAAGTGCTTCACACAGAGCCTATGCATAGAAGGCACCCAACAAAGGTAACTGAGATGATGATGATGGTGGTGGTGGTGGTGATGGTGGTGGTGGTGGTGGTGGTGGTGGTGGTAGTAATGGTGATGGTGATGATGGTGGTGATGATGGTGAGAAACCTTGAGTCTACTCCTAGTCTGTGATTTCTGATAAAAGGAAAACTCTTGTAATTGTGCTCAATGTTTCTGGGTTATTAGAAGGATTAGGTGAGCCATGGTAAGTGAAATGGAAACCCTGTAAATTTTTAGAGAAGTGCAATAGAGTCCCAGAGAATTTGACCTGAGTTCCAGTCCTGGCTGTGGTACTTACTTATTTAGTGATCTTATACAAACCATTCAACCTCTTTGAGCCTTCATTACTTCTTCCATATGGGGTAGGGATACTAGTGCTACGTGCATAGCAAATTTGTGAAGATGAAATGACCTAATGTGTACCACCTTAGCTAGCATAGTTATGTTTAAGATACATCTTCTTTTCTATCTACAGTAACTAGGGTAGTATTTCCAAGAATATTTTGGTTTTGCTTAGGAGATTCTCTCCATGAAGCTTTAGTAACTTGAAGATTAAAGGTCTAGGAAATTGAACTGCAAAAAGCACCCTATTTAATTATACATCAAGTATCATCGGATGCTGAATATTTCATCAGTGGCATCCCTGGCTGTTAGGGTGCAGACCATGGGGAAAAAAGCAATCAATTAAAGGCAATTTGCTATAACCTCAAACAAAGGTCATCTGGGCTTCACTGCCAAGTGCAATAACAATGTTTTCAAGAAAAAAATGTTTTAGAGTAAACCAACTCTTTTCAGAAACAGCCCCAAACTTAGTTTTGCTACAAGTTACTACTTTGTATCAATAAGAGTAGTAGGTGGGTATGGCTTTTTCAAGTCTCAATGGTTGTAGCTTTGACAGTTCAGGACCCATCTTTGTTTTTGTTTTTGTTTTGTTTTGTTTTGTTTTTTCCTTACTTAGAATCAAACCTTATAAAAGGGTATGTTCTTCAGTCTGGGTTGATCCTGGAAGGAGAAAGCAGTTATATAAAAACCTATGATATATGGGTCATGCCTGGGTAATCCTAGCTACTCAGTAAGCTGAGGTCTAAGGATTGTGGTTCAAAGCCAGACTGGGCAGGAAAGTCTATGAAACTTTTAACTTCAATTAACCACCAGAAAACTAGAAGTGGCACTGTGGCTCAAAGTGGTAGAGTGCTAGCTTTGAGTTGATAAAGCTCAAGGACAGCACCCAGGCCCTGAGTTCAAGCCCCACAACTAACACAAACAACAACAACAACAAAGTGATCTTTCTCTCTGTTTGTCTATCTGTCTGTGTCTCTGTCTCTGTCTGTGTCTCTCTATCTCTGTGTGTCTCTGTGTCTGCCTCTGTCTCTGTCTCTGTCTCTGTGTCTCTGGCTCTCTCTCTCTCTCTCTCTCTCTCTCTCTCTCTAAGGCTTTAATTCAGGCTTTGGGGCTGTCCCTGAGCTCTACTCATGATTTTTTGGTGGTTATTGGGAGATAAGAGTCTCTCAGGATTTCCTGCCCAGGCTAGCTTTGAACAGTGATCCTGAGATCTCAGTATCCTCAGTAGCTAGGATTATAAGCATGAGCCATGAGTTCACAGCTAGAAATTTTGTTGTTCTGGTAGCTTCTTTTTGTCTTGTACATTATTTCCTGAAGACAAATTCCCAGGAAGGTATCACTGGGTGAAAGGTTTATAAACATCTATTTGGCTTTCTCCTCCCTCCCTCCCTCCCTCCCCCCCTCTATATATACATATATATATGTATATATATGTGTGTGTGTGTGTGTGTATATATATATATATTAAAAAAACTTAACAGTCCTCTGAAAGAATTCTACTGTATCATTGCATCTTGAATGAGTATACTATCTTCTTTCCCCAGCCTTTTGTGAGAGCTATAAGTCAAGACTGGTGAATTCAATAATGAAAGCAGTCTTTTGTGCTTCTGTCTGTGTGGGTTTGCCCTAGGGCCTTCTAACACTCCTTGAACATGATTTATGACATAAGTATGGTTATTCCAGAATAAGATCTCACATGAGTTGGTATGATTCGCCCTTCCTTGATTGACTTGTCTTCTTGAAGTCATAAGATCAGCAGAAGGTTTTCTAAACAATTGAATCAGATAACAGCTCTTACTCCTGTGTGGGATAAAAAGTAATGGTGGGTTTTAGAAACAAGGACTACACTTTAGCTCCTGATTTTTCATTCTACACTTGATGCCAAAAGGTTGAAATAAATCACACGTTGAGCAAATTTTCAGGCTCCCTCCCCAGAAATTAAATTTCTATCCATTTGAGATGAGGCTCAGGAACCTTCATAAACAACAACTAAATTCCAAG